CTTTTGTTCACAAAAAAGGTATTCATTTGCTCAAAGGATTTCCTTTTGTTTTTCATATTTTATAGCTCTCTTGCGATCAAATCAAATAAGGTGCAAAGTTGTGGTAACTTCATAAATTTTAATTTTGAAGATTTTCCTGCAATTTTTGCTTTCCTCCTTTAAAACGTTCCTTATGACCTGCAGAGTGTTGTTGACTCTAAAGAAGACTGAAATTTATGCTTTATAAAAGTTGGTGTTGGTTTGATCTTCAATATGGTGAGTGGATTCTCTGATTCCATCAACTTTACTCTTCTGATATTTCCCATAAGGACACATCTCTTATACAATCTATACATGTTTCTGATTTCTTCTTACTGACAGGTCATATGGCTCTGGATTTTAGTGACTACAAGCTGCAAATTTCCTTGGCACCTATAATATTATTTAGATTTCTAAAACTAGTTTTCAGAGTTTTTGAACTCCTTGTGTGACTTTGTCTTGTTAATATTTAATTTCATGTCCTGGTTTGGTATTGTGGTGTTAAGGACAATATTTAAACCTTGCGTTATCAGAACATATGTATCTTAGTACAGAAAATGTGGTGTGTCTAAACTTTGGTATTGTAGCCTCTAGACATTTTTTTTTTCTTTTGCTGGCTTGGTTTTGAACATGATGTTGCAACAAGATTTCATATGAATCGAGCTATACGTTGTCTTATGCACCTTAGTTGTAGTTTCTTGACATTTGCAAATCCTGATGCTGTTTGGGTTCTACTGGTAAGGATTATGAATTTCCATTGTGAAAATTTTACAAAAAGCAATTCAGACTACCACAAAAAGGAGAGCAACGCCAAGGTTTGACTAGGTTAGTGGTTAGACAATAAAAACACATCATAATTTTTTTAGTGGATACTTATTTTTTAATAAATAGTTTGATTCTTATCTTGACAAACTATTACAGAAACAAAAAGTGCGTTACAATCACATTTTCTGTTATTAATCGCCAAAATTGCATCGTAAAATAGTTATTTTTTGATATATAATACAAAATTAGTATTTATCAATTGAATTTGTAAAAAAAATTAAGTAAAAAAACATTGAATGTTGTGATGTTGTAATAAAGTATTACTAGAAAAAAATAAAATAGTATCATTTTTATTTAAAAAACTAAAATTCTATAGTATTTTTAATAAAAATTAATTAAAATAAATATAATTTTAAAATATTTTTTATCTTATTTTTTACAATACTGTTAACAAACATTTTTCTTATATAATACTATGAATTTTTCTAGGTTTCATTATTAATAATATATTAACATCATGATAAACGCTAAACTCTACAGTTAGATTTTGTCATAGTTATTTAAATTATAAGCAAAATGTCAGGGACTCGGGGAAGTGTTGCGCAAAATTAGTACCCAACTACTGTCAATTTCCTTTCAGGAAAATTCTGTTAAAATGGCTTAAGAAAGAAAGTGTTGGGATTAGGCCCAACACCCTCTTAGGGCCACATGCAGCAGGCCCAACTACGCACCCCCAAGCCCAAGAGGAGGGGACATACCCACGTGGGCAGCACCACGTGGGCCAATGAGAGGCTTACATGTGCAGATACATGTCAGCACTTGGGGTTATAAATACCCCCCAACCACCTCCAAAGAGGGTAATTAATCTCTACGCTTCTCTCTCTGCAATTACTCCTTGAGAGCATCTCTCTCTAGA